AACACTGATGCTAGCTTTACTTGTCTTGTCACAAATCAGACTTAATCAATTCTAAGAATGCCACTCTCAAGCAGCTGTTACGTTGTATTTAGGTAATTATGCCGAATTTTTTGATATTTTTCATTTTGTTGATTCTATTCAATTCATCATTCACAAACTATTCTTGATTACTTATGTACTTGCAAACAGGTATGTTCGTATTGAGAACCAGCAAGAGTACAGGTTTTCACGAGTTTGAGTTTTAAATATACATCATTAAAAGTTACTGTTTCATATTCATTGTGACGAACAGTGTGCGATCGTTTTTGTGCGGATGATCAATGAAGAGATTATATTCTTGTGGCAGACGAGCACCTCTCATTAACGAGAGTATAAGTGCGATTGATGATTGACTTAGTCATTATATATGTATATCATACATCGTTGATGTGATGTTGTTTATGCGAATGTGATCCGTTTGTTGCTTAAGCCGCGGAACGATGTTTGTTTTATTTTTGCATTAATTTAACATAGTTCCACAGCAGTAAACTGCTTAATATTTAATGCTTTGAAAAGTAGCGTTTTAATTTTGCTTCATATGTACACAGAACATGTTTATGGCTTTTGTTATCCATTTCCTGATTCTTATTTATAACGCAGAGGAATGGGTGCACCATCATACCCGTTCAGTTTCGCATGTTATTCAACAAGCTTTGCCGAACTTATTAACTTACTGATGTGAAACTAGGAATCGTTGTCGTCGAACAAAGATATTTTTGATAGTGAGCAGAATTTTTTGCCAGATAAATTTGCTGATTGCTATATGATAGGGATATCACATGCAGAGAATGTTTGTTCGCTTCGTTTTATGGTAGTTGTTTTGATGATATTTAAGTTGTCGTTCCTTTTGTTAGCACTTGGGATAGCTCAATTCAGTTGTTGCTGGCGTGATGAAATTTTTGTTCAGACGAGCTTTGTGCTTGTGATGAGGGCTTCGCTGCGATGATCATTAGGTTGGTGGGAGAGCAATGGCTGACTGATTCAGCAGTCCATGCTGGGTGTTTCTTTAGAAAGATGTCGTAGTTGCGAATATAAGACATTTTGATCACAATTAAATATAAGACAAAAATCATGCTCATAGGCAGTCTAGAATCTGAACAATAAACTGGGAGAGTAGAAAATTCCGATATGGCAATGATTTTGCTGTCGGAAAATGATTGTCGGTCCAGAAGGATAATAGACGCCCCAATATATGTGAGTACTTTAAACTGAATGTGCTAATAGAATAATGTCCATTATGATTATATGCATTTAAAAGTGCTTAATTCATATCAAATAATTTATTTTGATCAAATAAATTATGCCATTTCAATTTCCAACCGGCCAATCCATTTCATTATTGTTGTTTGAGATTACAACAATAACAGCATCAATAATTAACGTGACAGTTTAAGTGATGAGAAATATTCTGTAGTTTTACTATGCAATGTTTGGCCTGTTGCTCCACCTCCAGTCTTAAAGACAAAATTCTAATCATTTTCAACCAGACATACCTCATCATCATCCTTAAAACAACCAGACAACATCTGTCTGTTGTTTGCAAGTGTACTAGCAGTTATGAGCTCAGCGTTGAGTGTCATAAAAAAGTTAACATTTTCGACTATATAATTTTTCGTTGAGTTTATTTTAGGTTATTCCTCCAGTCTTCATGTTTTCTCACATAGTTAATCTGGAGGTTATGACTTTTAGTGCTTCATTTATTCTGTATGTATTGAAGATATGTGGTAGAGAGGAATAACGTGAAGATGTATGGTAATTAATAATATTGAATACTGCTCTAGGCTGCTAGCTTGGTTTCAATGTTATGAAATTATGGGGAAATTTCCGATGCAAATCTGTGTAAACAGAAATTTTTTTCTTGAGCACATGACGTTGATGCCATTCATTGCAACTAAAATGCTCGATGCAGACTCGCACTGTCCGAGTGCATTCAGCTGTTTAAACAGTCACTCACTGCTTCGTTGAGTATCTTCAAGAATAAATTACATTTTTACGCGCCTCACAATAAAGAAGTTCATGAAATCAAACATTTTTTAACAAAGATTACGCTCAGAAAGTACAACTTCATCAGAAATCTCTATTCGCTCAATAAAATCCACTAATCGGAATTGAAGCTTGAGATCGCTGATCAAAAATTACGTTCAGAAACCGTGAGAGTGCTTCGTAATTGTTTTACTGCCATACGTTAACGTGAATATTGATATTAATTATTTATATCACTATCAAAAATCAATCAATTAATATCAAAAAATATTGATATTGTTCGTCGCATGAGTAAATTTTCAGTTCAGCTCTACCAATTTATAACTACTGTGTTATTCACACCGATTTTCCGGGCTGTTTTCTAGTTGATCGTATTCAACTTTCAAATGATGAATGATTAGTGATGAATAAGCTCTCGGGAAACAATCCAAACTCGTAAAAAACCGTCATTTGAATATATCACCTCACTTCTATTTTCGGATAAAACCGTTTCGTTCTTTCCCCATGAAATCATCAGGAATGACCCNTTATGATCGAAAGAATCAGCGAAATAAACTGGATGAAACTTTCATCAAATCGTTGCACAGATTAGCCTAAACAAGATTGGGTTGACTGCACGTGACAAAATTACGATTTGTCGTCTGATAATGCATAATATGACTGCAGTTACTTGTTCATTCATTATCAATTTATTATCAGTTGTATCACACGCGACTCTATTATCTACTAGGCACGTCCCAATGGACACACATACGTGATTACATCGATTGCAATTTTTCATTCATCTTATTATCAGTTATAAATATCTAGTCGATATTCATAACTGATAAGATGAATAAAATGCTATTTTAGTGAATTTATCCCATACTTTTTCAACACGTATGAAATTGTCTCGTATTCATGTCGTCGTCGTTATCTTCGTATCTTCAATATATCAATGATGCTTACGGGCTGAACTGTGCCTTTGTTGAAACCGAATGAATGAGAATAACACTGAAAATGAAAGAACGAGAACGAAATACGAAAACCGCAATAAATTGTGATGTGACTGCAAATAACTTTTTGCAATTATACGACAGAAGACGACCGAGTTCAGTCGAGAATTGCTAATGATGGTAGTTTAGTGGTGTAAAAGTGGTTTTGTTCATGATCAGCATTAGGATGAAAGTGAAATGAATTGTGAGTTCGAATGTATGGATTGCTTGAATGTCTACCTAATAGTTCGCTCGGGTTTATTCGCTTAAATCGGGCCTTAACTTTATTTTCGTTGTTGTCGGTCCGTAACATTCGTTTGTTCGGATATTTGATGGTAGGAGATTGTTAGCGATAATGTAAACAATGATCTTGTTCAGCNTGTACAAATCAGTGCATAAACGAATTTCGAAGGCCGAGCATTTTTCGGTGATGCCATCCATATGCATGCATGTTTCACGTTATTCCAAGAATATGACCTGTGAAATCAACGTAGGATCCGACGTTCGCTAAAATCTGTGAATATTATCCGTCTATTGTAGCAATATTAGCGAATGCCCGATAAATATAGAAGTTTTCGCTTATAGTAATCAGATTGCAGGAAATGTCTCGGGCTTCCTCTCCGTCCCCGTTCACCCCACCATCCTCTCCTTCGGCTTCGTGTCAATGCATTCCGAATGTCTTATCGTTTCACGGTCGTCCTCTAACGGGCACTCCAAGTGCCAATTTCCTCGCAGATACACTCGGCGTTTCACCACTTTATCGACAGCAAGAGTATGTTGTCATTTTGAATTATCATTATCAACAACTGTAGTCGTTAGTTATATTCTTCATAAATTCTTATTATCAAATGCAAAAATCAAATGAATTGATCGATAAGCATCTAAAAATTTCGTCTCGAACATGTTAAAAAATGATGAAAAATCACGAAAGCCACTGTAAGATGAGAATGACAATTTTCTCAAGTTATTAATTCTGAACATTGCATGGTATTATTGAATGAAAACTAGAATTCGCCCTCCAGTAGTTTACAATAAATTAGTTTTCTTGAAGTAAGAAATTGATCAGAAACAAGAGCATGTACTTGTCAGTAGGTGAATGTTTACTTGTGAATGTTTGAGCAGACGAAAAATTTATTCTCTTCCATTTTATGGTTTGTCATTTATCGTTCTTGTCAAAATTTTTCGCTTTTCTCGTTTAAAGTCGTTCTTTTCGTTTTTACCTTATTCTGAACATTCGATTACTCTTGGAATAGTGTCATGTTGCGAATTGAAATGAATACTTATGAGGTGATTCATTCTTTATCATCTTAAAATCATTCCTCCGGGATTGAAATGATGTATCTATCATTCACAGAGGGTAGTAAAAAAAGAAGACAAAATTGTTGTCTTCTTCGAGAGATTTCCACCAATCGGCATACGTTTTAGTGGAATGCAGACGGATTTTTTCACTCGAATAAAAAGATAAACTAAGTGTTGAACTTCGAGTACACGTAAAGAGATAATTAGAATTTCGTTCAGTCTTTATCAGATTCTAATAAGTCATTCAGTTCACTTGATTGACGATGAGATCAAAGTCTGTGATAATTTGAGAAAGCTGGAAAAAATCTTCTGCTGAAAGTCAAACCTCGGCTCATTTGTTTGCTTTGGAATGAGAAACGTTTCGCTCAATAAGACTGTTCACGATAGTTTTTCACGTTAGAATGGGTTAGTATTTGCAGAATGCCAACCAGATTCCAGTTCCGGGATTCATCAACATTTGAAATATAGAATCAACACATTATTTTCAATTCGATGTATTCATAGTTACTTGAGAAACAGGTTGTTTAATATATCGTACAGATAATAGCATTTTGAAGTATGGAAACAAAGCATTCACATTATTTGATAATGCTGAATATGAATGAGCTGGTTATGAGTAACGTGTAATTCAAGGTGAGTATATTAACAAAATTATATAAAATACCGTATTTTATCGAATTCTGAATTGCCGGGAGATTTTAGAACATAGCTGTCGGGACTGGAATTGAAGAGTGAGAACCCAGAGGTACCGTGCAAACACTAGAACTGGTCCGAATGTGTTTTGATTGTGAGTGTTCATTTGGAATATGTTTTTAGTTCGGCTCGTTGGCAAGGTGCAGCTCAGGTGTATCAATGTAGCAGAAGTCGGGGTCATAGTCGAGCGCATAGTCCAGCTCCGGGCGGTCACTCAGAACCCTTCTTATATCCACCCAGCCTAACACCTCACCTCATCACCGAACATCTCTCAGCTGTTTATAATACGCTTGGGTTAGTTACGCTTAGCAAATTTCATCGTCAGTTAATTTTCTTATGCAGTTTGACGGGCGCTTCAAAATGGCAGCAAATCTTTTAAGAACTCCATTATCGTTGGAAGAGATCGGTCGTGCGAATCGGAAGAGGCACGCTGAACGAGGTGGTCTTGTAGACGTGAAAGAGGGTGGACCTTTGGAACTCGAAGCTATCGCCGCAGTACATGAGCTGGCCAGTGAGGTCAGGTCGATATCAGTTTCTGAGATGTTACCGCGTACTGCAGATCTAATTTTTGTCAATGTTAAAACAGTTGAAGGTGATATATTGTCGTGTTATGTTCTAATAATTTACGCAGTCATTACAGTTTAAATAAGAGCTTTTATTTGCGCGTTTGTGAATTCTGTTGAAGAGTTCATTGAATTTTGTCATCTGCAAAGTGCATTTTTAAACGAAATGGTCCGAGCGAAAACTTTTTTTTATTGCAACCTTGAATTGGTTCGTTGTTATTTATAGGTGACGCATTTCATTCATTCTTTCGTTTTCACATACTTTTCAAATCGGAAATTGTCACTTCAAATTTGATTTGCACTCGCATTNTTCGACAACTTTTTAACCTCCTTTTATCCTTCGCACCAATTTCAACGGAACATTCATCAGAAACTATAATGACAAGTAATCTGGAAAGAAATATTTCTCATTCTCAAAATGACCGTTATGGATTCTGAATGTAGAGCGTCAGTGCTGGCATAAAGAACAACTTCGATTTCGAAGTGTCTCTGAGAGGCTAATTGAATTTTTTTCCATAACAGATCAACCATTCACCCTCGAACTAACCATGAAAGGATGGCGGGTGGCGTCAATACAATGGGATTCTATGAATGGCGATTATACAAAGGTTTTTTCTCAGATTTTGAAGTTTAACGATGGCAACGGTCATTTAATTAATCGCTTATTTATGCAAATAGACAATATCAAGCGAAAATGATTGCAGGTTGATTTGCATACGAAATACTACGAAAACGCTCGTGCTCTACTCGAGGTGATCTCACCGGCTCATGCGCAATATTTTAACACTTGTCTCAGCGAGAAATTGTCACAACTCGGCCAGAATCAGGAGGTTCGTAAAACATCTCAAGCAGTTGAACGCTTAGCATTTTAATCTCTCATGAAATTTCATTGTTGCAACATGCAAGGTAATTTCTTTTGCTTCGTGTGCTTCCGTTAACAAAAATTTCAACTTGATCGCTCAGAGGATTAGTTGTTGTGTTCCCTCAAGTCAATCTTCATAATTCATATTTCTTTGCGTTCAAGCGTATCCTATCTGTTGCATTTCAGGAGGATATCAGTGGGGGTACAAATTCACCGCGTGACGACGAAGGCCTTGTGTTTAATTTTGGTTCTTAAATTACTTCTTACGCGAATTACTCATCGTTATGTTATAATTCCATTTACAAACGCTTCAAAATTGTTCTCGCTAAAGATGCAATGTCATCTTACAATTAGCAAACTTATATCGCTTCTGGAGTTCTTCACACTTTACTCAGATTACTTGACCTGACCAATCCTTCAAATTCATCACTTTACTCATTATAATAGCAATTCGTGATACCGAAATCGAAATGCATCCTCGTTTATCTTACTTCACTGAGACTTTTCCGGTTATTGCGAATGGTTTTTATCGATAATCGATTATTCGCACGCTCTAATAAGCGTGTTTTCTTGTACATCTTGGTATTATTGTAACAACTGAATAAGATTGGCGAGAAAATTTCACCGTTTTGACATTATTTTCTGTGAAAATCATGCTTTCATTGGTCATCAACAGTTTCGTTGCAACTAGAATATTGAATATGAATGCTTCAATTGATGATTGAGTTGATCAAAAATTTCACTCTTTTACTCCGTGAAACATCGTATTCTTTTAATATTGTTTGTATAAGGTTAACAGGCTAATAATCACTCATTTATTCGTTAATGTGTATGATCAGCATCAGAAGTCAACGGTTCTTCATTCCTAGAATGATAACATTGTGAATATCGTGTGCTTCACGTTTTGTTAGAATTATCCAATTAGTCAATTCGAATGGATGTTCTAATCTGTTATTATGGAAGTGCTGTCGCTCTCAGAGCTCTGCTTATCTCACAAAACAAAACAGCCACTCGTGCTACTTACTCAAAACTCTACCACGGTTTTACCAAGATATTCTCGCGTGACTGCGTATCCTAATTCAGTTTCTTGTAGCATTTCAACATGTTTTCAATTAGTTGAGTGTCTCGACTCAGAGGCACTGATATCGGTTTATTTCTTCGAGAGATTTATAGTACTTTTTATGCACCAACGATCATGTTTAGTTCGTTTAGACATTAGAATTATCTCTCTCGTTATCTCTTTATAAATTAGCATTCTTTTCTTTAGTTTATTTATTTATTTATTATTTTATTTCATTTTGGAAGTAAGAACTGTGAGTTCGAAACAGTTAGGTTATTGAGCGGGATCATCGTTAGATCAGAATGTGATCATCATTATTGTTCTCTGCATACTACCTTGATCATACTTCTTATCCAGTTGCGCAATAGCCATAAAGTCGTTAAGTTTATTGCAACTTGGCTTGTTGTGAGATCTGAAATGAATTGATATTGCCCAACGTCCACTAGAATATTGAATTTCCTTTCTGAATTCAGCTCATTGAGTGACTGCATTGATGATAAAAGATATAACTGAATTGTTGCATGACACTAGACAGTCTTATTTCTATAGATTCGTTTGGTTTATGAACAAAAATGATATGATCGCTCTTATGTTGGTTCATTGGAAATTTGACGATTTGTAAATGCTGATGTTAACTATGATATTTATTTATTTATTTATCGTTACCACATTTGAATTGTATTTGTAATATTCAGTTGTATTGAGATTTATTCAGTTTTGCATTTCATCGTGTACGTGTTAGTAGAAATGTT